CTGTCTCCTCCTCCCCATTCCCTAGCTGCCGCTTGGGATCTGGTCCCACCTCAGGCAGCTCACTTGACACCACGCTGCAGCCGCCTCCCCAGGTTCTCCCGGCAGGGCTGAAATAAATGACTGCACTTGTAACATACGCTGCCCGGCCCCCACACTGGGGCTTCCTCATTCTCCACCCCGCAGAGGTCCTAGCATCCTTCATCAGTCAAGTGCACAGAGGTGACATTAGTGGTCCCCTCAGGTCACAGGGACAACCTTGTTTAAACCCAAATGACTCTGGGTAATCTGTGACATAGTGGCTTCTTTAAGGCTTCATGTCAAGTAGAGGGCAACTGGTGGTGTGAAATTTAAACCTGAGTTACACAATTTTCATGAATAAAACATGAGGCTAAAATTAAATGAGCACTGAGCTTCTTTTCAGGAGAAACATCCCAGAGTCCCACACAGAGCCCTTCTGGATCCAAATCCTGAAGGTTTCCCACTATACCTCTCTGACCGTGATTTTCCGCTAAAATGCTTCTGGTGGCTCCCCACTGTCTGTGCGGTTATAACATCTGGCATCAACGTATCAAGGCTCTTAACATCTTGGACCCAAATAAAGATTCCACTTTACCTAAGACAAGGCTGGACACCATACCCCTGTCCTTGGGGCATGGGAGCAACTCTCTTGCCAGCCTGCCTACGCTCATACTGTGTCCTCTGTTGAGAACGCTCTCCTTCTTAACCCTGCCCCTGGCAGAAACCCACTCCTCCTCCCTCAGGGTGTTCAGTTCAAATATTTCCACCCCGCCTCCACCCCATGTAGCTTCCCCGACCTGCAGTTTGAGTAGACTCAGACGGCATTATGTTAAGCCCTATATGACAATGCACAGCCCATCAAAATTATAATTGTGATGACTGTCTCTCCTACTACATTCTGAGTTTTGCATGGCATATTGCGGGCAACTCAGTAAATATCTGTGCAAGTGGGCTAAAAACTGTGTGCTTACACTTGTATAACTGGCTATTAAAGACAAAAGTTATTCAGCCAAGATTTGAGCTGAGGAAGGAATCAACTTTTTGCTGATATAACATGTCTTTGTAAGATGTGTCATTAGAAGGGAAAACAAGATTGGACTAAAACAACATTGTCAAGAGAAGAAGGGCTGAGAGGGGAGGAATTCTTCTAACTCATGTATTTTCCTGTTCACAAAGGAATTTTCTAGTCAAGGAGAAAACACTGATTCAGTTTGAGACGTTGCTGGAATTCTCTCCTTTTTCCTCTACTTTTGGGAGAACTAGTATCCATTTGGAAAAGTAATGGGGATATAAAAGTGAAGACAGCAATGCAGCGATATGTATAAACAAGGCTACTGAGAGATGATATAGCTATGTCAAGAGAGAAACCTTACAGAATGACATTAAAGTAGGACACTTGAGGAATGCCTTAGACCTAAGACAACTGTCACCTGATATTTTGGCATTCTTGAAGTATATGAAGAAATAGCACCTGGAAACCGAAAAGTACAAATTATTTGTTAACAACGACATTCTGAAGTCAAAAGTATATTTTCTTCATCTTTTAAAAAAAGTTAACCTGTTAGCATCATTCTCACTTTAGAAAAATGTGAAACCCTAAAATACGTACAATTCTAGAACATTGTCTACAGGTGGCTTTCAAAAGAAGAGAGAGCTGCCCTTCACTGTACGAAATTTTCCTAAACAGGCCTGTTTACCTGGAGGTACTTTTCTGTTTTGTGGATTATCCAGAACATTTTTTCCCACCTCTTAAATTTTTTTAAAAATTGGAGTATAGTTGCTATACAATGATGTGTTTTAAGTTTCAAGTGTACAGCAAAGTGAATCAGTTATACATGTTATACAGATCTTTTATTTTTATGTATAAATCATTAATCCAACCCTTAGGGAAGATGAAAAGAGAGGATAATATGTGAAATTTAAATCTGTCAATTTCTCTGCTGGTAAATGTCTACCAGGAAAAAATGTAAAAGCCTGGAATTTAAAAATGACTGATTTGATAGGTTTAATATGTGAGCTTTCTTTGTGACCTTTCAGCTCACTGAGACACTATTCTAAAGCTGCTTTACTTGAAGGTTGCTTCTTCCTCCATCCACCAACGTGGCCAGTGATGCTGGCTCCATACAGTACATATTTGCTGAGCTCTGACTTTGTGCCTGGGGCTGGGGCTACAGTGTTAGAAGGAGGTCTCCGCTCTAGGAGCTCCCAGAGGGAGAGGGGGAGAGACAACTGTGCTGGCAGCTGCAACGAAACTGGGGTTGAGGGTAAGGTACACTTAAGCTCTGGGTGCCTTGGGAGTGCCGGGGAGGAACACAGACCACGTGGGCCGGGAGAGGACAGTGGGAAGGAAGGGTCTGGAATGAGTCAGCATGAAGTGAGGCATGCCCGGGGAACACTGTCTCGGACGCCCGGTGATCCAGCTCTGCTGCTGACACCTCTGCACTTCTTTTCACAGTTCACAGAAATAAATAGACAAAAAAGGACAAACAGTTTTAAAAGAGTTTAAATCTCACTATATTTTTAAGAAATGATACTGATACATCTCTCAATACCCTGCAGACATCCACAATGATAACTATTAGTAAGAGTTGAGCAAAAGGCATAGCATTAGTGTTTTCCTGGATCATTTTCAGGTCATCAATTGACAGGCTCATGGAATATTAGTGCTTAACTAGAACCAAGATCTTTCAGTCCAAAACCTTCACAAAGGGGGAACTTGAAGCTCAGGGTCAGTGAATCATTTGCCTAAAGTAGTCATGTATGGATGTGAGAGTTGGATTATAAAGAAAGCTGAGCTCTGAAGAATTGATGCTTTTGAACTGTGGTGTTGGAGAAGACTCTTGAGAGTCCCTTGGACAGCAAGGAGATCCATCCAGTCCATCCTAAAGCAAATCAGTCCTGAATATTCATTGGAAGGACTGATGCTGAAGCTGAAACTCCAATACTTTGGCTACCTGATACGAAGAACTGACTAATCTGAAAAGACCCTGATGCTGGGAAAGATTGAAGGTGGGAGGAAAAGGTGATGACAGAGGATGAGATGGTTGGATGGTATCACCAACTCAATGGACATGAGTTTGAGTAGGCTCTGGGAGTTGGTGATGGACAGGGAGGCCTGGTGTGCTGCAGTCCATGGGGAAGCAAAGAGGTGGACATGACTGAACAACTAAAATGAACTGAACTGAACTTCTTTGCATTGTTCATTTAAGAAGGGCTTCTTATCTCTCTTTGGTGTTCTCTGAAACTCTGCCTTCAGTTGGGTATATCTTTTCCTTTCTCCTCTGTCTATAGCTTCTCTTCTTTCCTCAGCTATTTGTATAGCCTCCTCAGACAACTCTTCAAAAACATTGTCACCAAAGACGAAGAAAGACTGAAAAACTGTTCAAGATTGAGGGAGAGCCATGACCACTAAACGCTACACATAATCCTGGAACAAAAGAAAAAATAAAATTTCCCTCTGCAAATGATACTATTGAGACACTTGGTAAAAAGCTGAATGGGGACTATGGATTAGAAAATAATATGGTATCAATATTAATATACTGAATTTGATAGTCATACTATAGTTATGCAGAAAAGTGTACTTGCTTTTAGGATAGTAACACTGAAGCACACAAGTTGATTCAGAAAAACATACACACACACATATATAAACATAAGGGGATAGGTGGGAAGAGGGAGATTAGAGGAAAAAAGGGAGAGAGACAGCAAACATGGCAAAATGCTAAAATTTGGAGAACCTGAGTGAAAAGTATACAGGAGTTCTTTACTATTCATGTATCTTTTCTGTAAGTTTGAAATTATTTCAGTGATAATAGCTAAAAATAAAGAGCGTGAGTTTCGGTGTGACTCAGCTCCAAGTTTGAGTTCCAAGTCTGATATTTATCACCCAGGAGACTGTGGAGGAGTTAATTATCATGAGCTTTGGGTTTCTTATTTGATCACCAATTCGGGACCAGCTTGGTCGTCCCAGATGGCGCTAGTGGTAAAGAACCTGCCTGCTAACACAGGAGGCGTGAGACGCAGGTTCGGTCTCTGTGTCTGGATGATCCCCTGGAGGAGGGCATGGCAGCCCACTCCAGTATTCTTGTCTGGACAGAGGAGCCTGGCGGGCTACAGTCCATAGGGTCACAAAGAGTCGGACGTGCCTGAAGCAAACTTAGCATGCACGCACAGGACTAACTTAAAGGGATGCTGTGCTGATTAAGGAAAATAATACACAGAATGGAGCACCTGGCTAGTGGTCAGTCTGCCTGGCAGAGGACCTGATACCTAACTGGTGAGGAAGTAAATACCTGCTCAAGAAATGAACAAGCTCCTTCCTCCTGCCCCTCCCTGCCAATCAGATTAAGTGATAGCACTTAGAGAAAACGAACAAATTTTAAAGAAGTATGAGATTTTTCTTAACATCTGCATAACACAAAACAGAAAGCTTGATTAGTCATAATAAATATCATCATACATTTGAATGCTGCTCTTAAGTCTCCTCAGCATTTTGCCCTCATGTCTCATATGACACTGAATGGAACAGGCAGGCATTCAAGTTGAAGTTCAACACAGCGTTAATAACAGCGAGTCTCTGCAGCGCCTTGGGTTGTGACTGTCAAAGAAGAGGGCATGCCCTTGTTACTTAAATCTCAAACAGGGCTTGCATCAGCTCTTGGTTGCAGGGTACAAAACGAGGTGCGGTCTAACGTCCATCTGGGCATCTGTTCTTCAGATGCTGGCACCGCTGTCTGCTGTGGTTCACCGTGTGTCTGGGGCAGTGACGGGGCACAGAAGGGGGCCCAGGTTGTGCCTGGGAGGTTTCTTCTCCTGGCCAGGATGTGCACATAAATTTGAAATCACCCAAGAGGGTGGTTTCAGAGTTGCCTGCCAAAGAGTGGTGTCTTCTAATCTGGAGAGCAGCTGCTGGGCACAGGCATGCAAACACACACACACACAGACACACACACACCCAGGCACCCTCACGGAGCCTATACCTGCCTCTACTTGTCTGCTCCGGGCAGATGGCTCCCGGGTCTTGGGTCGCCTCATTCTGCACCTCAGCCCAGTTAGACCCTTTCTTCTGCGGAGGCTGGCAAGCTGTGGGGTGAGGGGTTCAGCCAGGTCGCCTGCCTTCTGAGTATGAAGGACACTGCCTGGAGAGGGAGGAGGGTTATATTTAGTGTTTGGGCCCAGGCAGTGTTGGGCTCCCCACTGCCTCCCCTCTGCGGAACTGCCAGGGGACCCCGGTTGCAAGTTCTCCTTGACCTTGAAGCCCACGAACCCAAAACTGAGAGACTGTCCAAAAAGAAAAGAAGAAAACGCTGCTGGTCCCTGGATTCCACTGTCGGATTTGGTGGGGGCGAGAAGAGAGGAACACCGGGTGTGAGCCAGCGGAAGCACCTGCGCAGAAGGTAAGTGTCCCCAGTGCCACCGAGAGGGGGCTTTGGGGACCTGTCTGTGACACCCAGCGTCCAGGAACTGCGCCATGCAAGGGGAGAGAGTGAATCTCAGGCACGATTAAGGGCTTGTGAAGGGTGATGACTTTTTTTTTTAATATGAAGAAGAGCTGCTTGCAAAATAGAGGAACTATCCTGACAGGAGATACGAAAGGAGACCAAAATAAAATCTTAAATTGCTATCCTCTTTAGAGTAAGACAAATGGTCAAAAATCCTTATGGTTTGGGCAGATGACTTTTGCTTGGTAATAGCTTGATTTTGCAAACTGATGTAAATGATCAATGCATAATTTGAAAATCATCCCAAATGTGGTAACAATGGAGAGGTGTATTGGATAGGCTAGACTGGTTAGGAGGCATTTTCTTTTTATGGAAAGACAGAAGAAATTAACATCTTAAAATGGCAACTTAGAGGTATTCCTTTTCATTTTCTTTTGCTCATATATCTTTGGTGCTAAAGATTTGATGAATGGGCAAGATCTGATGAATGGGGGCCAGGGAAGAGAAGCAGATTCTTGAAGTGGGGTTTTTTGGAAGGTCTTGGAAGATACCTATCACCCCAAAGCATGATTGGATATTTAAGGCACAGCAAACCTCAGTGTCAATGGGAGATGAAGCCTGATTGCTGCCAAATTATACCAGAGAAAGTTCTGCTCACTGTACTTGCTCAGTGGGAGTATTAGTCAGTGTTTAGGGTGAATGCATAGTTTTGAATACAGATCCAGTTCAAGAGATACATGTTCAGCTAAAATCACATTCAATCACTCTTTTTCATTACACCTGGTGATCACATCTTTCTTCAGTATCTATCCAAGTCTTACGAAGGACTGCAAGAAATGCAATGCATACACTGCTTGGCTACATTCACCATGTTCTATGTGTGCATTAGACTTGTAATAAAGGAGGGCAAGCGGTAGTGTACTACTGGTGAAAACTTTTCCAACTTCTGGCAATGCTCCTCTTGCTTCAACTAAAAATACTTCTCCTATGATGATACTTTCTAATACATCAATCTTCTATCCTCCCAAAACAAATATTCCAAGTAAATACATCTCTACAGTCATCAGTTGACACTATTATGAAACTCATATTATACTTAACTAAAAATCAGCATAAATACTTGAAGAGCTCTTTGCTATTGAAAATTTCTAAAGGCAGCATAATATTCATGGCTATTTCTATTTCTTTAAAACAAATACGTTGGGCTATTAAGACAAGTCTATGCTTATAAGAGTTTTTCAGGTAATTTCCCAGAGCAACGTTGAGTTTGGCTTCTTAAGATTACCAATGCAAAAATATTCTGTAAAATTCTAGGACAAAGAAAGTATTGATTATAAACAAAAAAGTGTAAAAAAAATTTTTTTAAAGAGTTTAGCTTCTGTTAAAAGTTTGTATGTAGTTTTCTTTTTTCACTTAAACTGTTGTTGAATAAAAAAATTTGGTGGCCAATAATTGGTCTTAGGTACTGACACTGTCACTGGAGATACAGATAATTTATTGTGGCTTCAAAATGATGATCCATTTACCTATTGTATGGGATAGATGCTGCAATGTGCCAAGAGTTCAGGAGCGATGGGGATGAGCTCCAGGGATGGGGAAAAACAGAAGTAAAGTGCCCTGTATTCTTCAGAAGAAAGGCCATGTTATTCTTGTCTTAACATAAAAGAAAATTTACTACTGAAATACATGCCTCGCCTCTTCAATATGTCACATTAAAAAACATGTAAAGAAAAAAAATGGTGCTTTTATTTGCCTCTGGACAGAACTAAGTGGCCACCAGCATTTAATAGCCATTCATACAGAGAACAACATAACTTTTTTGTTTTGTTTTTTCATTATAATTAGGTAAAACACTCCTATGGTAGGGCTTAATTAGTTTGCTCACTTGTTCATTCATTCAGCAAATGTTTAGAGTGCCTACCACATGTTGGGTTACCAGAGATACAGCAGTGAATGCAGGAAGAGTGGTTTCCATATTCTCTGAGTATAGAGATCTTTACAGAGGGGCCAGTTATTAGTGATTTGAACCTTAATACTGTTCATGTTGCTTACTATGATATTTTCTCCTTTGTTTCTAATTAAAAGACTAGAAAAAAAATTTTCCTACTTATAAAGGTTTATTTAGTGTCTGCAAGATAGGAAGAGAATTCCAGGGACCAAATAATCAGATTGGAACACACATTTCACTGAAACTACTTGAGCCTTCTTTCAGGGATGTTAACATTTCTGTTCTAAATTATAGATGTCAGACAAAGGCTCACATACTGATAGTTTGCACCTTCAGAATTGGGTTAGACAAGATGTCTCTAAGAACATTAGAGACATTTGCTCTAAGTCATTAGAGCAAAATTTGTATTAGATAGCCTCATGGCTATCTGGGGCTCAAATCTGATGAAAGTTCAAGATGTGTCTGTCTAATTTGTCTGACAAAGGCAGTCAATCACCGGGGGCTACGACAGAAAGAGGGGCAGTACTGTGCTTCTCACTGTGGTTGAGGAATCTTTGTATAATGGCGTTATTCGTAACCACGAGGTCATTTTACACCTGGGAGGTGTCCTACATTGTTTACAGAATTTGAGTATCAGTCACTCACTTGATCCTAAGGTGACCCTGCATGATAGGAAATGCAAGTATTATTCCCTGTTCAGCTGATGGAAAAACTATAGGTTTTAGATCTTTAAGAAACCATCCCAGCTAATGTCCCCTCTAATGCAGTCTCCTTAAATAATTTCTCAAATGACGTCTAGAAAAATTCTGAGTTTTCAACATGAGTACCCACAGTTCCAAGCACTGCTTGAAGGTGGCGGGGGCCAACTGGAAGCTGCCAGTGGGAGAGTTTCAGGCTTTCCCGCACCCCATTGTCTTCCTGCCTCCACTTCCCTTCTACACTCACCGAACAGTCCTTTCCTCTGGCCCTCAAAATAGTGTAGTTTCTAAACAAGATATAAGCTACTGCTTTTTTCTTCTTTTTATGATGGGAATAGGATAGTATAATAGTATACTCATCTACATGTGAATGCAAATAGAATTTTAAACTGCTGGTTAGTGCCAAAAGTCTGGCAACATAAAAAGCCGTCAGATCAGATTAGACCAATTGTCCACCCAGCCCAGATCCTGCTACTGGGGGATGCATAAGTGGGCCCTTGAGAGAAGCAGTTTATCAATGGTAAGTGAAGATATCACAGGACAAAATTATGGGGGAAAATGGTAAGCTGACAGCTATATCAACTGAGACATATGAGCTAACTGTGACCTCTATCAAGATAGGCAGAGCTGAACAAAGCAGTCTTGAGTGAAGGTCTTCCTGATGGATTTTAAGACAGTAAACTGATCTGCTGGTAACTGGGATACTGAAGATAAGAGGGTGTAGGGTACCACTCATAGCTAGTATTCTTTGTTATTACTAGCTATGATCAATCAAATGCACTTTATTTCTTCCTTACATTTATTCCTGGAATTTATAGTGTACCTAGTTAAGGTTTATTATAATTGTTTGGAGGTGTTTAGCTATTGGGTTGGCCAGAAAGTTTATTTGGGTTTTCTTGTAACATCCTATGGAAAAATCCAAACGAATTCCTAGGCCAACCCAATACTTTGCTCTAGTGGCTTGGACAGAACATCTTAGATCCCCTTGACGGTTCCAGGGACAATCCCCTGACTACGAAAGTAGAGTTCAAGGAGGACAGGAATATGGGTGAAGCAGGGTCTGTTTCTGCGCTTCTTCTAGGAGCTGCTGCTCCAGGCCTTGAGACAGAGATAGAGGCAGCTGCCTCTGAGCCATGGTATCAACTGCCAGGTTGTGACTAGGGACATCAGCTCCTTGGTTTTCAGCTGCTCCAAACATCTTCACCCGGAGCTATTTTAAGAAACTTTGCATTTGATCAGGGAGCATGTGGGGTTAAGCCTGTGTTTTCCATTTCAGTTTTAGATCCCAAGCAGGTGCAGTTAGTAGTTCAGAGTTTAAAAACTTATTATTGTATTTATCCCCAATCAGTGCAAAAATAACTTCATATCAGGGGAGAAAAATCATGTAATGGAGACGGAGACTTGTTTCTTAAATAAAACTAAAAGTATTTAGAACTTGAACTTAAAAAAATCACTAGCATTTTTCATTATAATTCTTGTTTGGCAAACTTGGCTAAAAATATGAAAGAATAAATAAAATCATTTGCCTAAAGTAGTCATGTATGGATGTGAGAGTTGGACTATAAAGAAAGCTGAGCTCTGAAGAATTGATGCTTTTGAACTGTGGTGTTGGAGAAGACTCTTGAGAGTCCCTTGGACAGCAAGGAGATCCAACCAGTCCATCCTAAAGCAAATCAGTCCTGAATATTCATTGGAAGGAGTGATGATGAAGCTGAAACTCCAATACTTTGGCCACCTGATGCGAAGAGCTGACTCATTGGAAAAGACCCTGATGCTGGGAAAGACTGAAGATGGTAGGAAAAGGGGACGACAGAGGATGAGATAGTTGGATGGCATCACCAACTCAACCGACATGAGTCTGAGTCAACTCTGGGAGTTGGTGATGTACAGGGAGGTCTGGCGTACTGCAGTCTATGGGGTCGCAAAGAGTCGGACAGGACTGAGCAA